GGCCTGCTAGACCACAAACTATACGAAAAACATTAGCAGACCAATCGTGAGAATAGGTCTGCTATTGTTTTCATTGTAGTTTGTAGTCTAGCAGACCCAAATCCTCCATCACTAGCTTTGCACGTGGCAAAACGTGGGTCTGCAAAATCACAAACTACACAAAGAAGAACATTAGCAGACCCAAATTTTCGTGGTTGCTCTAACGAAAAAAAAAGCAAAAAAAAATTTGTAGTTTATAGCCTAATTAGCAGACACATTTATTCTCTAACCTGCAACAAATTTCCAGTGGATTGTGACAGATTGAACGTGGATTCTCCCAACGAATGATTCGATTCACTGGGTGCCAAATTGAATGTACTACTCCATGGATCCATGAAACTGCTGTTCGAATCCTTCCGACTCATCAGCTGACTAGTCGTCGGAGTGTTACTCCGTGGTCGTGCTCTAGCGATTCCAGCGGCGATTGACTGATTGTGACCCATTGATACGGAGAATGCCGGTGGATCTTCGGATTCTAAATTGTAAAAAACAATAATTCAGCATTTTAGCTGTTAACTACCACTAAAGTTAGTTCTAAACCGTCCATCGGCAGTATGATGAGAGCGAAGTGGCTGTCGGAGCGATGAAGCGTTCATTGACTGGGAGAACATGGGCGGCGCTTTCGAGCCACCGATCGTCCAGGGATCTCTATCAAACGTGGTGCTTCTCGTCAGCGTTATACTCCCGATGGCGTCTCTCAACTCGTCAACCGACGCATTTATATGCACCGGTCTATCGGAAATTGTCATTTTTCGTATTCTCGACTTCTGAAGCTCGTCCTCGTCCTCCTCTTCGTCACTTGAACAGCTCGACCAAGCGGTTGGATTCGAATCCACGTGGTTTTCAGTAGCGCGGATCATGTAGCCTTCGTCGTCGACTACTGGAAGACTCGACGATGGTTTTTCATCGATGGGGGCGTCTAGAAGCGAGTGACCATGGGCTGATGAGCCGTTAAGCACTTTATCGTCGCTTCTGGAGCTGCTAGCAGTGCTGTGAGTGTCGTCCATGCTGAAAAATCGATGTTTTGGCTACAAACTACATCTCTGCATTTAGCAGACCAACTTTGCCACGTGTCGAATCCTTTTTTGAGTGTTTAGGCTACAAACTACAACTTTTGACTTAGCAGACCAACTTGGATACGTCTCAAATAGCTTACTGAGTGTCTATGCCACAAACTAAAGCTCTGCAATTAGCAGACCCACTTTGCCACGTGTCACTTACCAAACGGAAGCCCTCAAATTGCTCTCATTCTCCTTCTTCGATCGCCGCTTTTCTCGTGTGAATTTGAACAATCCAGATGCGGAAAATGGTTCGGCAGTGTTCGGAGTCTCATCTATCGAACTAGTCGACACGGTTTTCCGCCGTTTCGGCATAAAAAGAGACAACTTCTTTGATGATTTTTTTTCAGAAGCCGCTGATAAATCTTCAGAAGACTTCTTCACGTTATTCAGATCCGTTGACGACGTGTTCATTGTGGAATTCAGTGTCGGATTCAGAGGACTGCTGTCGACTGCGATCCCCTCGCCGATTGGATCCATCATTAGAAGATCGACAGTGATTGGTTGCGATGGTTGTGCTTGGTCTTGAAGGATTCCGGATGATGAGCACGATGAGGGCATAGAGTTGCCTGGAAAAAGTGAAAATTAGTGAAAAAGTGCAAAAAAACTATTGTGTAGAATTGATCGGCTAAATCGAAAGCTGTAGTTTGCAGCGTAGAAACTCAATAAGCGATTTGACACGTGGCGAAGTTTGTCTGCTAAATGCAGAGCTGTAGTTTATAGCCTATATCGAGTGAAAGAGCAGAGCTCACCTCGCTTTTGGGTATGCTATACTACAAACTACACTAACCGGCATTAGCAAACCCAAACCTATGGTCGGCGCCTTGCGTGCGCATTGGTATGATAGACCACAAACTACATCCTAAACATTAGCAGACCAATCTCTTGCGCATATTAGAAATTCATAAATTGGGTCTGCTAGACTACAAGCTACATAGGAAACATTAGCAGATCAACCTCCCGCATATATTATACAAGGGCCAATGGGTATGCTAGACCACAAACTACAACATAAACATTAGCAGACTTATCATGCGCGCATTGAAGATGGGCCAGTTGGGCCTGCTATACTACAAACTACATTAATCAACATTAGCAGACCCAAACCTAAATTCACAAAAAAGCAGAAAAATCAGGTGTCGAATGGGTCTGCTAAATCGGAAGCTGTAGTTTGCGATTTGGCAGACCCAAGCTCTCCTAATTTTATGTTATGCTATAATAGAAACTACACTAACCAACATTAGCAGACCCAAACCTAAATCCACTCAAAAACGGTATTTTTCAACGGGACAAAAAACAATGGAAAGTTCAAATGAGATAATCCGTATATTATCAAATCATTAGATTTTTCTAATTGAGGAAATCGAGATGGACAGAAGACGACGACAACGCCCACATGGAATCTAAAGACTAAGGGGCAGAAACACGAAAAAGACCAAAAAACACACACACACAAATTGAGAAGATGAAACTTTTTTTCTATCAAAGCGGGAGGGGGAAAAAGAAGCGAGAATTGATAAAGTTCGAGTATAGGGTGTACTAAGCGCATACGGGGAAGAGGAAGGGTAGAACAAAAAGATTCTTTGATTGTTTCTCTCATTATTCATCTCTTTGCCTATTCTTCAGAAAATTCCACGTCATCTGGCCTAGAATCATCTGTGATATGTGTCAGTTTTGGTTCTTTTTTGCTTTCGCTGAATAAAATAACGTGGAAAATGGCGAACATCAGTTGGCTCGCCAAACGGCCTACAAACTACAAAACGGGACTTTAGCAGACCCCAAAAATCCAAAAAATCGAGATGATTTCATATAGAAAGCTCCCAAATGCTAGCTAGCTAGCAATTACTCAAATTATATACACAATTCAAGTGGTTTTTTGGTTTTTCGAAAAACTTTTTTTTCTACATTTTTTTTATTTTTTGAGCTAGAAGTTTATTGAGCAGACCAAAATTTGCCGAAAACACAATAAGAATTGGTATTGAGGAATCTAGGGATGCCTAAAAGTGTACATTTTGCTAATCTAAGCTCTAATCCTCCTATATTTTTTTCGTTTTCTTCCTCCTCGCACAATTTCCGGTGTCGTTGATACGAATTAAGCACTACGAAGACGACGACGACGCCTACCTGACATAATATCCACCAAATCCCTAATCGGATTCAGATTCATCGCCGACGACGAAGAAGTCATACCTCCGTTTTCCAATTCTTCAAAGAGAACGTGCGCTAAAAAAATAAATTGGTCTGCTAGCTCAATGTAGTGTTGAAAAGTTTGTAGTGTTGAAAAACAACTTACGTGGCTTCTCCGACCCTGTCGACTTGCTTTTAATGAATTTTCGAACGAATTCATCGGCGTTCAAGTGCTGAATCGATTCCCGGAACTGCTCGGCGACTTGAAAACTTGCAGATGTCATTTCTGTCGAGTGATTGGCGAAAAGTAGAATGAATTGTTGTATGGAAGCGTAGAGGGATCTGAAAATACATTTTCAGCTACTTGAAAATCAGATTTCAGACAAATTACCTATCGAAAGTCTGAAATTTCTTGCACGAATCGATCATTTTTGTCTCGAAATCCTCCCGGACGACTTCATACTTCTCCACATAGCTTTTGTATTCGTCGCGAGCGCGAGCCACTTTGATTTCGATCTGAAAACGCACTGTTTTGCTTTGGACACGTTGTTTTGGGCCTGCTAGACTACAAACTACGAAAATTGCAAATAGCAGACCAACTTTGCCACGTGCAAAATCGCTTTTCGAGGTTCTCAGCTTTAAACTACACATCTGTATCTAGCAGACCGATTTTGCCACGTGTCAAATCGTTTTTTTTTGTTTCTAAGCTATAAACTACACCTCTGTATCTAGCAGACCAATTTTGCCACGTGTCAAATAGTTTTTTTTTGTTTCTAAGCTACAAACTACATCTCTGCAATTAGCAGGCCAACTTTGAAGCGTGTCAAATCGCTTTTCGAGGTTCTCGGCTACAAACTACATTTCTGTATCTAGCAGACCAATTTTGCCACGTGTCAAATCTTTTTTTTTGTTTCTAAGCTACAAACTACAGCTCTGCATTTAGCAGACCAACTTCCCAAAATCAGTTTCAGGTTGAGTTTTCTCGTTTTCATTCAATTTAGATTTCAGAACGATTTCAGAACTACCAACCTTACTAATTTCCTTCACATTCACATTCGTCTCCTTTCTAGCCTTCTCCAACTCTTGACACCGATGTTGATACGTCTCCTTGGCCTTCTGAAGACACGTCGTCGTCGTTTGCATCAAATTCACCGCCTCGGCGACTTGCGGCTGCTTCAACTCCTTGCGCGTTCGATTCACGTCTTCTTTGTACTTCTGAACCTCTCGCGACAGGTCTTGCAGGTTCTTAACAAGCATTACGTGGATTTCAGCCATCAATTCTAGAGTTCCTTTAGTTAACATCCACATGGCATCGATGTTGGAACCGTTTTGAATGAAATTGGAGACCTGGAATTTTTCATGAATTCTGAATATTTTTAAAAGACGTTAAATACTCACTTTATGAACATTCCGATTAATCGCTTTGACATACTCATCTTCCACTGATAACCGCTCCTTGACGAATTGTGCAACTTCGGAAACGGTGTCTTCTGACCTCTTCAGATTCTCTTGAAGCACCTTCAAATCCATTTTATTGATTTTTGGCCTACTTGTTATTGATAACACAGTATTACTGATGATCAAAGAGGAACCAGTTTTTTTTCTTTTTCAGAAAAAAGGAACAGAAAATTAGGAAAAGGGCAAGTGACAAGTGGTGACATAAATTTGAAACAGCATGTGACCTCCTGTGCCGCGTTGAGATTGATGAAAGGGGGAACAGAGATATGATTTCACGAGGTTGTGTTCCAATTTTAGATGCCACGTGGCAGAATTGAGGTCTTCCAGACAACAAAAACTTCAATGGCAGTCTCTCACATTTTATCACTTTTCTTTTATTAAAAAAAGTGTTTTTTCTGTCTCTTCTTTTTTTAATTTAACAGACACCATTACTGGAGATGGGTCTGCTAAACTACAAACTACAAACTACACTATTAAATTTCCGAACAATCTTTCTCATTCAATTCATTTTTATGAGCCTATTTACGGGGCTCGCTAGGCGCCGTCCTTTAGATTCATTTCACTCTTTTCCGTTAGAGCGAAAATGTTGGCCTGCTAATGTTTTTTGTGTAGTTTGTAGTCTTGCAAACCCACTCTCGCCACATGCGACGCGAGATTTGGGCCTACTAGACTACAAACTACAGAGAAAACATTAACAGACCAATTTTCATGTTTTTTCTCATTTTTCTGTTTTTCTCAGATGTGTTGGCCTCAAATTTTTACCTGAAATCCGTGATGCTTTTCCCCCCAAAAATGGTCGGCATACAGCAATCCTTCGGCCGTCGTCATCGTCGTCGGCGCTCACTGACCGCCAAAAGTGCCCTTGCCCGTCGTCGCTAGTTTTTCGAAGTCAGTGTTATCTGTAAAACGGAGACTTTTGATAACTGTGATCTTCTCATTTTTTGTTATTTCAACGATTTCCAAAATGGCGAGAGGTGTGGGGGAAGGAGGTGGGTCATTAAAACCTATAAAGACCTATATAAAACCACGTGCTGTCTTTTTATGTCGCATTTTTTGCTAACTGTGTTCTTCCACTCTCTTTTACTGGCACTTGAGAAGCTCTTTTCTTTGACCTTGGAGCGCGCTTGCTCAGTTTTGTTTTCTCTAATCCTCTTGATCTCTAAACACATCGATTCTGAGGGCTCGCTGAGCTGTATAGAACAAGAGGGAAGGAGGCAAAGGGCTCTCAAATCGGCTCAATTTTCTCTTACTTTTCTCTCTCCAAAGAGATGTTTCATTTTCTTTTTTCTAGCTGACAGGAATCCTTGCAGGAGAAAAATCTTTTGCAAAAATCGTTTTTTTTTCAGTTTTCAATAGAATTTCTAGCATAAAACAGTGAACATTTCATTTTAGGATTTATAATTTAAACCTGGAAATTCGTGTTTTTTTTTACATAAGAGGCTCTTATTAAGAGCGAAAATTTGGGTCTGCTAATGGTTTTTGTGTAGTTTGTGATTTAGCAGACCCACGCTCGCCACGTGCGATGCAAGATTTGGGCCTGCTAATTTTTTTCGTGTAGTTTGTAGTCTAGCAGGCCAACGCGAAACAAGAGCGATAGGAAAAAATGGGTCTGCTAATGTTTTTGGTGTAGTTTGTGGTTTAGCAGGCCCACACTCGCCACGTGCGATGAAAGAGTTGGGTCTGCTAAACTACAAACTACAGAGGAAACATTAGCAGACTAATTTCCATAGAATTTGATAGTAGAAAACACTGAAAACCCCAAAATCAAAGTAAAATTCGAAGCTAAAGTGCAGGTGAAAAATTCCAAAACAACTGATTTCAATTTCTTTGCGAAACCAAATAGAAAGCTTTCCATCTGTGCCTTTAAATACTACGGTAGAATTTAAAGCTATAAACTACGAAACCAACACTAGCAGACCCAAATACCGAGTTTTATTCTCATTTCTTTCTTTTTTTTTGCTTTTTTTCGCTTCAAAACCCGAAGTTTTTCAGAATGCTTTCACTGGCGGCCCGTCGGACAGTGCTCACACAGAAATGCGCAGCTTCCACATACAGTGGTCTAACATCGGCGGATTTTTTGAAGAAAAAGACGAATGAGCCAATTTTGGAGTACAGAAAAGGAAGCAAAGAGAGACAGGACTTGGAGTCTGCTCTTGCGCATTATAGCAAGGTATTTTGAGTCATCAAAATCATCAAAAACCAGCCGACTGGTGGCCTAGAAAACATCAAATCGACCAGAGAAAGCGATAACAATCCAATTGACTAGTAGGAGGCGAAAGAGTGTGCGGAAGCGAGAGACGCAGACATCTCGCCGAAAATTCCTTTTTCTCGCCTCGCATCGAAACTGCAGTTAACTGTACAATTTTGTGTCTTTTTTAGTTTTTCAGCAAAAAACATAATTACAATTATTTTCCTTTATTTGTTCATATTTACAGAACACCACCGACGTTCCACTGAGAATTGGAGACAAGAAAATCACAAACAAGTTGGAAAAGAAGCAAGTTATTGTGAGAGACTACAAACTACAAAACATTAGTAGACCAAAATGCATTTTTCCAGCCTTCCGATCATCGTTCAACACTTGCGCGATACACTCATGCCACCGGAGAGCAGATTCAAGAAGCCATCGATGTGGCACTCCAGTCGAGAGTCGCTTGGGAGAAAAAGCCACTCAAGTAGGGAATAAAGTTGGATTCCTGGCAGAAAAACTGAAAAATTGCAGAGAGCGAGCTGAAGTTCTGCTTCGTGCCGCCGATTTGGCAGCTGGAAAGTACAGAATGAAGTTGAACGCCGCCACGATGCTCGGACAGGGAAAGAATATTGTGCAGGTTGGTTTTTTATAGTTCTAGGTTCATTACCTGGAAATTTTTTGAATTTTTGATAGAAATTTGAATTTGGTGCGTTAAATTATCCCAGTACATTTTTTTTCTAAATCATTCTACGATTAAAATGATCCAACATACAAAGGAAACATGAAATTAGGTCTGCTAGACTACAAACTACAACAAAAACATTAGCAGACCCACCATTTCCGTATTGGAAATGCGTCAGTTGGGCCTGCTAGACTACAAACTACACGAAAAATATTATCAGACCCATCATTTCCGCATTGGGAATGCGTCAGCTGGGCCTGCTAGACTACAAACTACAGAGATAACATTAGCAGACCAATTTTCCTTTTTTTTACTCAAAATCAGCAGCAAAATCTCAACGCTTTTCAGGCTGAAATCGACGCCGCTTGTGAACTGATCGATTTCTTCCGATTCAACGCCGTGTTCGCCATGGAACTCGAGCACTACGAGCCAATTTCCACGAAAATCACCAAAAACACAATGCAATTCCGTGGAATGGAAGGATTCGTCGCCGCCATCGCGCCGTTCAACTTCACAGCCATCGGAGGAAACTTGCCGACTGCTCCAGCTCTCATGGGTAATGTCTCCCTCTGGAAGCCATCTGACACTGCTGTTCTCTCAAACTACTTGATCTATGAGCTCCTTGAAGAGGCTGGAATGCCTTCTGGAATTCTCTCTTTCTTGCCATCAGATGGACCGGTGTTTGGTGACGTCATCACTAGCTCTCCACACTTGGCGGCTGTTAATTTCACTGGATCCGTGCCAACCTTTAAGACAATCTGGAGAAAGGTTGCTGAGAATCTTGACAACTATGTGACTTTCCCAAAGTTGATCGGAGAGTGTGGAGGAAAGAACTTCCACTTTGTCCATCCATCGGCCCACATTGACGCCGTCGCTGCTGGAACCGCTCGATCTGCGTGGGAGTATTCTGGACAGAAATGCTCGGCATGCTCGAGAGTCTACGCTCCGAAATCAATCTGGCCAAAGATTGAAGCCAAAATTGCGGAGATTCACAAAGAAGTCAAGCTTGGAGACGTCCGAGATGGTTCTGTCTTCTTGTCAGCTGTCATCGATGACAAGGCATTCGCCCGTCTGAAGTCGTACATCGACTACGCCAAGACTGGAGCAGATGGAGCAAAAATCCTGTTGGGAGGAAAATGCGATGATTCAACTGGATACTTCATCGAACCCACACTCATTACTGTCACAAATCCACAGAGCAAACTTTTGACCAAGGAAATGTTTGGTCCAGTGGTCACTGTGTATGTTTATGAGGATTCGAAGGTGGATGAAGTGCTGGCAAGCGTCAAGGATGCCACTCCATACGGATTGACAGGAGCTGTGTTCTCACAGGATAAGGAGTTCTTGTACAGGTTGGTTTTGCCGAAAAATACTGAAAAAGCTATTTGACACGAGGCAAAGTTTGTCTGCTAATGTTTGAGCTGTAGTTTGTAGCTTAGACGCTCAAAAAGGAATTTGACTTTTGGCAAAGTTGGTATGCTAAATGCAGAGATGTAGTTTGTAGCCTGATCCACCTAAAAAATGTTCTTTTCCAGAGCCCGCGACGTCCTCCGAGATGCTGTTGGCAACATGTACCTCAACGACAAATCCACTGGCTCCATCGTCGGACAACAGCCATTTGGAGGCGCCCGAATGTCGGGAACCAACGATAAGGCCGGCGGACCACACTACGGACTCAGATGGACGTCGCCACTGACGATCAAGGAGACTTCAGTCCCACTCACCGACTGGAAATACCCATCTATGGAATAATTTTATTCATTCTTTTTTGTTTTCTCTTTCTGTTCTATCTCATATTGAGATTTTAGTCGTCGCTAAGCAACTAGGAAAAAAAATATAGAGCACACTCTCCCCATCTGACCGCTTTACCTAATTCCACCAAAAAACCACCTACCCCAGTGATTCATCCCGATTTTATTGCATAATTATGTATTTTAATATAAATTTTCTTTTTTTTAAAGCTCTGCATCTCGCTTTCCCACCAGTTTCCCCCACTGTGTCATATACCTATTGTCCCAATTTTTCAGAATGTTCTCAAAACTAATTCAGGAATTCTTTCCACGAGACATGACCGCGGAAACCGATTGGACGCAAATCTCGTTCGAAGAGGGACGGCAGACGCTGAAAAAATGGCGAGAGTGTGGCGTTCGTCGGAGTGAAGAAGTCGTTGAGATCTGGGAGCACGTCATCTCGCGATCGCCGACGTCGCTAGGCGACGAACAGTGGGCAGTGTTGGAGCAGGTGCGGAAAGTCGATAAAAATAGGACAAATAGGGCATTTGTGAAGAAAAAATGCTGCAAAATAACCCAAAAATCGCTGAATTTCCATAAAAAATACGCTGAAAGCGATTGGACACGTGGCAAAGTTGGTCTGTTAAATGCAGATCTGTAGTTTGTAGCCTAGAAGGCCCAACTCATTCATCGCAAGAGGCAAGAGTGGGTCTGCTAAATCACAAACTACACGAAAAACATTAGCAGACCCAACTACGCAAACTTCTCACGTGGAGGGCGTGGGTATGCTAGACTATAAACTACACGAAAACATTAGCAGACCCAACTACGCAAACTTCTCACGTGGCGAGTGTGAGTATGCTAGGCTACAAACTACACGAAAAGCGATTCGACACGTGGCAAAATTGGTCTGCTAAATGCAAAACTGTAGTTTGTAGCCTAGGCACTCGAAAAAGCTATTTTAGGCCAGAAAAACCGGATTTTCTTGAATTTTTGGCGATTTTTGACAAAAAATGTATTTTCCAGGTCTGCATCGCGGCTCTTGACTCGGCTCGCGTCGATTTGGCTCAAGAATGCATCGATCAACTTCACATTCAGTTCCCGAAAAGCAACAGAGTCTTAAAACTGAAAGCGATGCAGTTGGAAGCGACGGAGCACTATCAGAAGGCGTTGGAGATCTACGATCGACTTGTGGAGGACGATCCGAACAATAATGTAGGGCTACAAACTACAATTTTTATAAAATTAACCAATTTTAACGTTTTTAGAGCTATCGCAAGCGAAAAGTCGCCGTTCTTCTGGCCCAAGGAAAACGTCTGGACGCTATCAAAGCGATCAACGATTATCTCAAGGTGACTATAGCTAGACTACAAAAATCTCAAACTACAAATTTCCAGATCTTCCTCAATGATCCAGAGGCGTGGCTTCAGCTCCACGAGCTGTTCCTTCAAGAGAACGACATCGCAAAAGCGGTTCACTGTCTCGAAGAGTGTTGTCTCATTCAGCCACTCAACTCAATGTACTTCAGAAGACTGGGAGACTTGAGATACACTCAGGTAATTGAGTTATGGTCTGCTAAATAGGCTACAAACTATAAGTTTTGCAGGGAGGAGCTGAGAACATCGACTATGCTCGTCGTTACTACGAGCGCGCGCTGAAAATCAATCCGACCGATTTGAGATCTCAATATGGAATTTTGCTGAGCAATAACCAAATCGCGTCGACTACGAAAAATGCTGCTGAGAAGAAGAAGGCTGGGTTAGCCGCCGTTGAGGCTATCGATGAGCTAGTGAACCGCTATCAGAAGGTGGGTCGCTAGTGTTAGAGATGTAGTTTGTCGCTTCACTCGTTAATTTCCACTTGTAAGGTTTTAGGTCTGCTAATGTTCTAGATGTAGTCTGTTGCCTGGACAGTCAATCGCGTGAAATTCCACGTGTGAAGTATTTAGGTCTGCTAATGTTAGAAATGTAGTTCGTAGCCTGAAAAGTCAATGCGAAATCGCTTCACGCGTGAATTTCTATGTGTGATCTTGGGTCTGCTAATGTTCGAGATGTAGTTTGTAATCTAGAAGGCCAAAAAAAAGTATATCGCTTCACGCGTGGATTTTCACGTTTGAGTTTTTAGGTCTACTAGTGTTAGAGATAGTTTGCAGTCTAGCAGGCTTTATATATGCATTTCTAATGCCCGCGAGGTTGGTCTGCTAATGTTCATGCTGTAGTCTGCGGTTTAGAAGGCCAACGCGTAAGAGCAAAAAAGTGGTCTGCTCATGCTTATGATGTGGTTTGTAGTCTAGCAGACCCATCTTTAAAGCGCGCATTATGGGTATGCTAATGATTCTTAGTTTGTAGTTTAGCAGGCCCAATTTCATCTTTCTCCTCTAATTTGGGTCATTTTCATCGTAATTTTTATCAAAACGTGTTGTTTTAGGTCTGCTAATGTTTGAGATATAGTTTGTAGCCAGTTCTTTTTTTTCCAGGTCAGCCCACAAAACAACCCCGAATCCGACGGAATTCTCAACTGCCTCGAGGCAATGAAAGTGACAGTTGGAAGCAAATAAATTATTCTTTTACTACTTTTTTCTCTAAAATATTTTTTTCTCGTCATTATCTCCCCCAGCAAAGAAATATGTATGCTTTAACTACATTCCCTTCATCCCCTAATGTCATTTTCGACCTTTTTCGGTCATTTCAGATTTTCCTTTTCTTTTTCTAAAATAACGAATTCCAGAAATAAATTGTGATAAGTGACAACCCTTTCTTGACCTATTTCCTTCCTTTTTCCCCAAAAATCTATGTGTGGGCAAATTAAGCAGAAATACAAGGAAAAAAATAACACATTAGTGGGTCCATTTGCCTAATTGAAGAAGCTCCCCCCGCAAAGAGCTTTCGATTTTTTCCCTGCACGTCTTCTGCTGACTCCACGCCTTCAGAATTTTGAATATTCTGAATTCTCAACGTCTTCTAAAGTCATGGGAATCATTTTGGCGTATTTTCGACGCCCAAAATTGGATGTGGAACGAATTCGGACGGTCTGGATGGAGCATATTAATGGAAATGATGACTATTTTCAAGAGGTTTGCTTTTTTTTGGGTCTGCTAATGTCTAAGTTGTAGTTTGTAGTCTAGCAGACCCATATTCAATACGCGCATGATACGTCTGCTAATGTTTAGGATGTAGTTTGTAGTCTAACATGCCAAAGCATAACAAGAGCGACAGCAAGGAAATGGGTCTGCTAATGTTTAGAATGTAGTTTGTAGTCTGGCAGACCTACTGACGCATTTCCATTGCGCCCGCGATGGGTCTGCTAATGTTTAGGTTGTAGTTTGTGGTCTAGCAGGCCCAAATTTCTCCGTTTTCTGTAATTTGGGTCATTTTCATCGTAGAATCGTCTGGAAAAAAATTTCCTGAGGTAATTAAACCCGCCAAATTCAAATTTTCTTTCAGAAATCTAAAATTCTGCAGGTAATCCGTCGAATTTGCAAAAGAAACGAAGGAATCCGTTGCGCAATGTTGACACAGAATGCGCAACACGCTGAATCGGTCGCTGAGGAGGATTTTGTGCTATCGAATATTGCCGATCGCATTTCGCAGTTTTTTCATCAATTGATCGAGGTAAACGGGGCGAGGCTTAAAGGAAAAAAATCTGAAAACATTTATTTCTGAACATTTCAGGATGACGTGCTGATGAATACTGTAGAATTGAAGAAGAGCTGTTATGATTTGGGGCGGCAACATGCGGCGTACTCGAAGAAACAGTTCAAGGTTGGTAGAATTTTTTGAAAAAACGTTTTTTTTTTCAATTTTTCAGATATCCTTCTGGGAAGAATTCACATTGACGATGATGGATGTTCTGGAACAGAATTACCCACAAACTACAAAAGAGGAACAGAAGGCGTGGCTTCATTTTCAGAGATTTATCAATGAGAATATGTTGGATGGATATTTAGATGCGCTTTCTTATAATAATAAATAAAAATTTTTTTTTTGAAAATTTAATTTTTTCAATCTGAAAGTTTTTGAAAGCTTCGAGTTAGATGTCCTTGGATTTCTGGATCTCTGAAAAAAAAAATTTATAGTTAGAATTTTCGGAAAACTCCCCAATCTGAAAATCAGGAACTCTGATGTCAGGAACTTTTGAAAATTTTTAACTTTGTAATTCTGAAACTTTAGAATTCAAAAATTACGAAATTTGGAAAAGAAATTACGAAATTTGGAAATTCAGAAAATCAGGAATTCCGAAAATTCAGAATTTCAAAAATTCAGAGAGTCAGGAAGTCTGGAATTTCGAAATTATGGAATTCTGAAATTTCGGATATTCTGTGATTCTGATATTCTGAGATTTTGAAAATCAGAAACTTTGAAATGCTGAAATCCGAAATTCTCAAATTGTGAAACTCTGAATTTCTGAAATTCTGAAATTCTGAAGTTCTGAAATTCAAAAAATCTGGAATTCCGAAATTCTGAAGTTATGAAATTTTATGATTTTGAGATTCTGAAATTCTGATATTCTAGGATTCTCATTTCCTGAATTTCTGAGATTCAGATATTCGTAAATTCTGGAATTCCTAAAATTCTGAAATGTCGAAATTCCAAAAAGCTGAAATTCAGAAGTTCTGTGTTTCGAAATTTCACAAATTTCGAAATTCTGAAGTTCTGAAATTCAGAAGTTCAATTTTTCGGATTCTGAGAAATTTCATAAATATTCAATTCAATTATTCAGAATCCCTTTTGGACGTCTCCAACAAATTGACGCACGAAGTAAGCCAAAATAAGAAGATTTCGCATAGTTTTATTTTTCAAAATATATTTTTTAAACCCTAATTAAGAATACGGGAAATCGGATATCCAAAAACAGATTATGCTCTGAGAGTGAGCAAATAATTTTTTTAAAAATTAAATAAAAGTTGGAGTTTATGATCATAAAGAATTTTGAAATTTTCAATTTTCATTTCAAATTTTCTATTTACCGATTCCAGTAAATCCCTGAAATGTTTTCCGTTCAGGATTTCCGAATATTTCGAAATTTGTGTTATGATCATTTTCTCTGAAATTTCATCTTATCTGAAAAGGATCTTTCAATCCATCCAACCAAGATTAACATTATCTAGTCTTCTTCTACTTCTTTTTCTTCTATTCCAAACTACAATAATTCTGAAATTCACGTGAATTTCAGGTTTTCAGAAGTTTCATCAGAAATCATCACTGACATTCTTAGAATTCTGAGAATATATAATTTGATGATAACAAAATTCTTTAGGTTGATCATAATATGATCATATCATGGAAAATTTTGCAGTTTGACATAAAATATCGGATGATCAGTTCTAGAAAAATGATGATTTAGAAGATCGTCAAAAATGGAAAAATGGGAATAGATTGAAATTTTTAAAAAATCAAATGGGTTTGACACTGTGATTTGGAACCAAAATGCTGAATTTTGGAAATTCGATTTTTTTAAGATTAACTTTTCGAAAATCGGAAAATTGCAATTTTTGATCCCTAAAACTATTTTTTTGTCTCTAGAAGGATTTCAGATTATTCTGAAAATCTTTGATAAGTTTTGATTAGATTCTATAAATCATAATCTCATTTTCAGATTTTCAGAATCCTCATTTGACATTCTTGTAAATAAATAAATACGCAAATGAGATAAGTAGATTCTGGAGGATAAGAAGACGTTATGTCGAATCATTGGGATCAGAAAAATATGAAGATGATTAAAAAACTGGAATTTAGATTTTCAGAAATATAGGAATCTGAAATTTTGAGAAGCTAAATATGTTATTTTTGAAAATTAAGGCTGAATTCAAATATAGCCCCCACCCCAATTCAAGGATAGCCCCCCAAAATGAACCATAGTAGAGCCCCCCACTTCCAACAATCTAGACACTTGCAGCAGTTAAAAAAATTCCAAAAAAATCCTTTCAATTCAATTGTGTGTGTGTGTGTGTGTGCGCGCGTGTGTGTGTTTCCGTTTGTTCCCGGTTAGCGTACCCTAGCAAAGTCAACAGTAGACCAAACTTTCTCAAATTTTCACAGATAATCCAAAATAGCAGCGAGATGACGCCCCAAATTTCAGTTTGCCGAAAATTTAATTTTGAAGCCTTCTGGAGCCGTTCCTTGGTTTCATCACAGTTAAAGAAAGGCAAGTAGAACTTCCCCCTGCGAAGAGAGGAAAGAATGTAAACATTTTTCTGTGGTTTGTGCCAATAACCAAGATACAGTACTCCTTTCTTTTCTAGATTCCAAATTATCGGCTTCACCCTTCCCGTCATTTGTTATTTCAAAGCCAATTATCAGTCTGATATGCCAAACTTTTGGAAATTTCGTGTCTAAAATCATGTAAACATTTTCTGTGGTTTGTGTCAATAACCAAGATATGAGTTTTCAGATGTGTACTTTTACTAGAAACTTCTGTCGATTGCATTTCTGTCGATTGAAAGGAAAAATTTAGTATATAATACCAGTCATTTCAATAGACCTCTTAGTTTGCGATCCCAGAAAAATCTAGGGATATCAATAAGCCTTTTCAGAAAGATAATCCAATTTGATCATCATTACTAGAGTTTTCAGGCGGCTTTCAGAAGAAAAACCAGGATTAATTGATAAGGTTGTCATTGATAACCTTTTGGTTCATAAGAGTTGGGTGTCTAAAACTGGATAAGAAAGATCTAACGGGTTTTGGGAGGACAGCCTGATTTCTTAATGACCGGAATGGCTTCCAAATCACTGATGATATGCTCTTTTCAGATTCAATTTTTTTTCAGATATCCCGAACTTCAGATCCCCCAAAAACTATTAAAAAACATAATATGGGACAGATTCAGATGAGCAGCTTAGCCACGGATGGATTGAAACATCCTTCTCAACAAAGATCGGATTTTCGGAAATCCTCACAGAAATAGTTTAATAAAAATAAACATTTTGAAGCTTCAAAAAATTCAAACTTTTTTCATGTCCCCTATAATGTCCCCTAAATGTCCTGTCCCCTTCATGTCCCCTGTCCTTTCAATTCTTCTCCTTTCCATTTCTATGGACTTTTTTGAAAAAAACGGAAATTGGTTTTTGTAGAAATTTATAGAAATTTTCAGTGTGTATTTTTTTTCAATTTCCTGGATTTCAATATCTTTTCAATAGCTTTGTATCTTTAATCTGGATTAAATGTATAAGTTTAGAATTTTAGATTCTTCTAGAATGACTAATCTCTCAGAATTGAAATCGATGAAAATCAAACTACACATGAAATGTATTGCTTGTGGCTGACACAAATAACATGAAATTCGAAATGATTTCAGAATTTCAGACACAAAATTACGAATTTCTTGACATTTCAGATTTATAATTGACGCTGAAATTTGGCTCTGAAATTACAAAATGACAAGAGGGTGATGTCGATAATTTGGAATAAAAAGGGATACTGTAGCCTAGAAGCTATGTATCTCGGTTGGTAGGCAAGATAGGAACATGCTGTAAATTAAGAAATGTGTGAAATTTGATTTCCCGCATTTTTCTTGCTTACAGTATTTACGAATCTTTTAGAGGAATCGAGATATTTGAGCTGAGAATAACCAATGGTACTGGAGGGCTAGAAAGGGATACGGTAACTCCCTGAAAATTGAAAAATTGAAAAAATCTATTTCCGATTTCCCAAATTCATAATTTTCGATCATCAAAAATTTCTGCAAGAGGATTTCAGATTATTCTGAAAATCTTTGATAAGTTTTGTTAAGATTCTGTATATCATAATCTCATTTTCAGATTTTCAGAATCCTCATTTGACATTTTCATATAAAAATATGCCAAATGAGATAAGTTGATTTTGGAAGCTAAGAAGACTTTACGTAGAATCCGATTTTGCGTATTCCTAGGAAATAAAAATTTCAGAAAATTTCAGAAAAGAAAAAATAAACTATGCGAAATCTTCTTTTTTTGGTCACCAGAAGAATAAAAAACCTGGCTTATTGGTTCTTGAAGACGCCAAAAGGGGATTCTGAATAACTAAACGGAGACTTTATGAAAAATTTTTTTCGAAGTTTCAAATTTTTGGAATTTCGAAATTTCAGAATTCCAGCATTCCAGCACTTCAAAATCTCGGAATTTAGAAATATAAATAATGGAGTAACACATTTCTGAGCTCAAAAAACCCATTTTTTGTTTTCTGGTATCAATTACAGTACCAGACAATAAGATATACAAAAAGCACCTTTTCAGTTGATTTTAGGCCAGTTTGATCATTTTCAAGAGTCTGGAGCTCGGCTATCAAGTTTCTGATCACTTTGAAAATGTTGGAGGATGTAAAACAGACCTAGATGGAAAACTTTGCATTCACAGAATTCTTTGAAAAATTTCTAGTTTTTCAGCTATTTGCCAATTTCTGAAAGACACCCTTTTGGCCAGCCAGACTCTCAGGAATCCAAAAACTGGCTGAAATAATCAAGAGACGGATTATCGGAAACTAGAGATTCCATTAGTTTTAGCATTATATTTTCAGCGTTTTCAGCTCCCCACTAATCCTAATGAGATTATTTTCTCTCTGAAAGCCATGAGACTTTTCTGAATAATCAACAAATCCCTGTCTTGTCTGAAACCTTCTGGATGTCAAAAACTGACTAAACCCAAAATTAGGAAGAACAATTGAACTCAAATTTGAATGCCACATTTTTGAAAATTCAAACAATTGAATTTTCTGGAACTTTTAAGGGATCTGACTTCTTCAAAACACCAAAGTTCCATTAAAAACTATCCTATGGAAATTACAGTAATCTTAAAATTCCCGGACCTCAAAAACTGATTAAAAACGGAGTTAAGGTAAAAAATACTTGCTAAATTTCGAATTCCACACATGTGAAATCCCTAAAAACCCAATTTTCTAAAAGTTTCAAAAGCGGAAGTCAAAAAGCGGAAGTCAAAAAATCAGGCAACAATTACAGTAATCCCAAAATTTCTGAACATGGAAAACTGATTAAAACTAAATTGAGAGCAAAAACAGGACTCAAATTAAAATTCAACATATTCGAAAATCCTAAAAAATCCCATTTTCCGGAAGCCACAACTTTGACTTAAAAAATTATCGATTAGATAATGGAAAGGGGTGTACTTCAGAAATCCAAAAATAGCTGAAAAACTAGGATATTTCGAAAAGTTCTGTGAATGCAAAGTTTTTCATCTAGGTCAGTGTTACACCCTCCTAAATTTTCAAAGTGATTAGAAACTTGACAACCGAGCACCAGATTCCTGAAAATGACGGGAAAGCAACTGAAAAACACAATTTTGTATGTCTAATTGACCGGTACTGTATGCTTCAATTAGTCAGTTTTTCTGAATCTCTTCAACATCCTGGAAATAAATTGCTAATCTGTCTATCTGTCTGTCTGTCCGGATATCCATAGTTATGTAGCTCTCATTTTTGCCTGTCTAGTCATCCTCTCTGACTTTCTCAACTCCTCCGCAGAATCAAAATCATACCACACTTTTCAGAATCCGTGTGATCTCCGTTTGTGCGCGAGGCCACAATTATCATCACGCTGGACATCTTCAGAATTCTAAGAAGAGGCTTATCTCTCCTCTCCACACAATCTCTAGGGTTGGTGAGCTCCGTGCCAGGTACGAGCCCAGCACGAAGCCGGGGGCGCGGAGCCCCTGGGGCGTCTGGAACCTTCTAGGTCTCTTGTATAGTCTTTTAGTCGCTGTGTCACAGGCGCCGCCCAGTGGGCGCCGGCTCTGGCTCCTCCCTTATTTCAAAAATTTTTCTCAGAGTGAAGTCACGCCCCCTATGGTATTAAAGCGCCGAGCCCGAACATCAACCTCATCAGTCGTCGCCGAAGCCGAATCTCTACTGAGATGTCCCCTACCTCTTCCCTGAAGCTCGTCGCCTTCACTTGCCTTCTAGCAATGGCCTCTGGAGCCCACCATCACCACGAGAAGGAGAAGCTCTCCACCGACTCTACCATCGCTAAGAAGCTCGACTTCGCCACTAAGATGCTCGCCATCGCAGATGACTCCTCCTCCGAGGAATCCGATGCCACTGCTCCAATCGTGCTCAACATCTTCGCCGACGGAAAGAAGGCTCACCGCGCCAACCGCCGTGAGTGCAAGGTCCAACTTGCTCTCTTCACTGTCTCCTTTTGCGGAGGATACTGCGATTCTGGTGAGTTTTATTTTTTTATTCTAAAAGGGAGAGGGTACTCCACTGGTTGCCTTGATAATAACTAGCCTCTTTTCAGAATCCGCCGTCGACTTGGTGGCTCAATGTTGCCCAACTCACTGCTCCGCCGAGCAAGTCGTCAAGACTTGCTGCCCGAGCAACAAGGCTCAATGAGCAGCTCCACGTGGCTCCGAACTCGTCTGGACCCCATAATTATCCCCCTTCCTTCTTTTTTTGTCCCCCTTGTCTCGATTTTTGTCTCTGATTTTTTTCTTGTAATGTTTTGATCCTACTGGGGCCAAAAGTTCGGAGCCTATTTACCTTTTGTTAATAAAAAAGTATAAAAGTATAACCAAACAGTTCTGAAGTCTTTTCACTTTCAGAGTCTCTCCATTCGTCGGAAGTCTTCGTTGTGTCTCTCCGCTAGCTCTTCTTGAGCAGCAATTTCCAGTCTCTGGGGGAGGGACTAACTTCCACCTTAAAATCTAAGAGATATGTATCTTATGGATGTTCAGGCTAGACGACTCTAGCTGGAAGATTCACTTTAGATATCAATTCAGGCGGGAGTTTGAGATCGAGTACGCCAGAGCGCACTTGCTTACGGGAACTTAAAAAATGTGTCAATAGATATGAAATAATAATAAACGGTGACATTAATCTTACAATGAGGAACAAGCACAGTGATCTGCGTTTAAAGAACTTGAAGTCTGGTTTGAGCTCATATATCTCGTTCCCTGTGGAAGATATCAAAAAGTAGTCGACTAACAAAACAATTCTGATATAATGATAAACAATTTACCAGTTGACAGCTCTTTTATATCTTTGACAGGAACCAAGATAAATTGGCTCAAAGATGAAAGTTGTGGGGGCAGCCTATTATACTGTTTACGGTGACAATTCGATGTTTTTATACAGAGTTCTAGGAAAATACCACAGATTTGATCATATCGTTAAGTTAGACGGGAAGACTAGCTTCCTTTTAAGGATATAAAAGGTTCTCATATGAAGCCGGAGACGCGCTATTCTAGGAACATATGTTAATAAGAACGAGAGCCAAAAATAACCACGCCGAACTAGACACGGTGTTCCGTCCCGACTCCGCATAGACAGCCACATGTCCATCAGCTTAAACATTCGGCTCCGCGTCACTTCGAAACCGTGACACTTCGAAACCGGCCATTTCGAAACTACGTGACACTTCGAAACCAGTCATTTTGAAACCGGTCATTTTGAAACCGGTCGTTTCGAAACCGGTCATTTCGAAACTGCGACACTTCGAAACCAGTCATTTCGAAACTGCGAAATTTGCACGCTGCAATTTGTTTCTTCGATTTTAAGACTGAAAATTTCCAATTTTTAATTTCATTTTCACGTTACCGTGTTTTTTTTTTCGGTTTCGAAATGACTGGTTTCGAAGTGAACGGTTTCGAAATGACTGGTTTCGAAGTGAACGGTTTCGAAATGACTGGTTTCGAAGTGAACGGTTTCGAAATGACTGGTTTCGAAGTGTCGCGGAGCCAAACATTCTAATTAGAAAGGGACTCAGATGGACATGTCCCTGATCCTCTCTACGGACCAAGGTGGATACATTCAATGAGACAAGGGGCTTCTTAAAGGAGTGTTCCCCCCCAAGGAAGGACACAGAACGGATTATCTTGTTCCTGGGCGTATGCATTCTAATTAGAGAGAGGAGAACATGTTCTTGGTTATCAATTCTGAACACCTGGATAGACGTATTTCCAGGATGTTGAAGAAATTCAGAAAAACTGGCTAATTGAAGCATACAGTACCGGTCAATTAGACATACAGTACTGGCCAAAAAGGTATTCGCAAACGATTTTTTGAGAGTAACTTTGCTGAAACTTAAGGGATCGATCTGAAAATTTTACTGTGCATGTCGTACACGGTGACGACAAATTGCGTACAAGGAAATTGCATCATTTTCAGAAATTTTTTGTTTTTTTCAATTTTTTCAATTTTTTCGTTTTTTCACTTTTTTCATATTTTTATATTTTTGGATATTATGGTTTCTAAGAATGTTGGTTTCGGCTCCTATGTATTTAAAACTGTTTACAGACATGGCCAGACCCCTCGGAAAAAAAAAACATCTCTCAGGACATCCGTAAAGCCATCGTCATCGGCTTCAGAAGTGGATGTTCCAAGGACCTCTTGGCGCAGCAGTTCAATGTTACTAAACGTGCCATCGAGAAGATCTTGAAGCAGTTTCGGGATGAGGTAATATTCGAAAATAGTATAGTTATGGAAA